GGAATGTTGGCTTTCAGCTCAGATAACTGTTTCCTGGCCACCAGAAACGGTTAGTTTCTAGGGACCAAACTAGAGGTGGGTGGGATGGCCTCATGTGTCTCATTCAGTGGAGCCATTCTTATGTTTGGGGTAAAGGGGTTACAGGATCGCTCCTTTGACCTCCCCTGCTGTTGAGTGACATGTGAGAGAGAACATTACCTACATTTGGGGGGGGACCAAGTTTATACTTTGGAATTTGCTCTTGTCCTTCCGTCATTCCAACCCCCCCCCCCAAAAAAAAAGATAAGAATTATCTGCTTGTACAAGCTGAGTATATTACTGATTCACTTAATACATATGCAGGATTGTCTTCTAGCACTTAGGGACATTCAAGTGGAAATGCACTAGGTTTTCACTGCTGGTGCTGCAGGTCCTTTCTACCTCAGTGCCGCAGACAGGTCATGTACCCTGAGGCCTGCTACTTCTCCCATTGTAAGCTGGGAACTTGAAATGCTCCTGCTGTTCATTTTTAATAGATAACATTCCTAATACAGTCTGGATCTGGGACATGCAAAAGATGAAACTGTTTGTGGTCCTGGAGCAGCTGTGTGCCGTTCAACTGTTCCAGTGGGATCCCTGCCGGTCCCGACTTGCCATATGCACTGCAAATAGCCGAGTATACCTGTGGTCCTCGGCGGGATGTGTGTCTGTACAGATACCAATGGAAGGTAAGGAATCCTATAGCTGCTGAGTCAGACCTTGTGGCAGTCCACACAAATAATTGTTTAGCTCCTTTTTTTTGATTTGGGGAAGTCAACCTGAATTTTTTTGTTGAAACATTTCAACGCGTGTTAGCTTCAAAGAGCCACGAGCAGGAGAATAAGTGCTGTAAATGCAACTGCAAAAGAAGTTTGTGCCAGTGCAGTAGGTGGCTTCTGTAGCTGTTCTCTTGCTTCCACTTGTACAAAAGGTAACGCAAGCAGAAGATTGTATTTGGATTTAGTTTTTGCGCAGTGTTCTAGCACAAAGGGGTAAAACAGCCCTCCTATGACTGAAGATGGCTTGTGCCTGCATAATATTACTTTTAGATTCAAACCTGTGGGTTGGATGCTACACACCCGCAGAATGGAACTTTCCCACCTCCTTCCCGCTCTGCTTTCCAAAATACTGTTTTTTGTTGGGTGGGGGGCAGGTCTCTAGGAATAGCAGGCGGGTTCTGCAATGGGAAATAATAAGCAGTGGAAATCTCCTAGCAGCAAAATAAGGCATAGGATCCAAAGAGGAAGACATTGTGGCACTTGGCAACATGAAGGTATGTTGAAATGACAACAGGTGTGGGTCAACATGTGGACTGATCTTACCATTCAGAAAGTGGGTGTGTCAGGTAGTCCTCACTTGCTCCCTTATAACCAAGCACATGTTGTGCCCCCCATACTTTAGATCAGGGGTGTTGAACTCATTTGTTATGAGGGCCTGATTTGACATAAATGAGACCTTGTTGGGCCGGGCCATGTGTGTCATAAAATGTAATGCCAGATAGCGGAAATACAAACTTTATAAAGGACACAAACACAAAGGGTGGGTTTGTTTGTTTTTTTACTTAAAATAAAAACATGCTTAAAACATTAGCACTCTTGCAATATTTTGTTTATTTAACAGTGTCTGATAACTGACACCTCTTGCTCTGAATTATTGCATCAAAATGTCTGTGCTATTGCCCTCTTGAGTATGCTGTTCAGGTGTGTATCTGTAAGTTGCAAACCTTGGATGACGGAGCAGCAACAGAACTAGAAGAAGCAGAAGACAGCCAGTTGCACTGAGAGCCTGATAGAAGCCCTCCGGGGGCCTGATCCGGCCCCCGGGCTGCATGTTTGACACCCCTGCTTTAGATGCTTAAGAAAACATAAAGTGACCCTAAACTCTATTATGAAAAGATGCTGACAATACACGTTCTGCTAATTCTAATACGTGCTAGGAAGAAGCTCTGAATGCTGTGGGCTTCTTATTGTGGTATGTTGTGGAAGTGTCTTTTCTATAAAGATTAAGTGCATAAGGTGATGACTCGGTAAGATTTGGGTGATTTGTTAATGAAACTGCTTTGTGTTTGCAGGTGACTTCCAGGTGGTTTCTCTGTGCTGGCACTCCAATGGGGATTCTATGGCTCTCATAAGTAAGGAAAACTTCTGTGTGTGTTACTTAGAAAGAGAGGCCGAAGAGGTGAAATAGCAGCACTCGAAGAAAGCTCAAGGTGGAAATGGGACACTGGCTAATGTACTCTGCAACATTCTGGAGGGGAAACCCCCTGCTGGATTTGCAACGAACTCTGTTTAGCATGGGAAAATGGTGTAATTTAAGCCTGTATATAGATGCAGAAGCACTAATTGGTTACTATGTGATAACACTTTCTTTAAATTAACATGGCCAAGTAGACTAAAAGATAGTGGCAAACTGATCTTCAGCTTTTAGGCCACTGGTTTTTAATATACTGTCTATTTTTACAGTGTTTAAATCATTTAGTTGTCTTGAAACTTCAATAAACAATTTGATTATCTAAACACACTCTTCTTCAAACCAAGGGCTTTACTACAACTCTTGGTGTTCTGGCCACTGATTTTGCGTTCTTTTGAACATCAGCAGTAAGCACAATTGTGTTCCTGTGAAACTAACCACCTGCAAGTTGAGATGGTGATGTGCTGAATTCTGGGGGATGAGTGAGGTATCTGGGGAAGGCTGCGAAGACTGAGGCAAGCACCTGACCAGTCATTTGCGGAGTGCATTTATGGAGTGCCATCTTTTCCTTCACATTGTCATACACTTTCCAGATCTAGCCTAAGAAGCTATGACTTCTTGCATGGAAGAACTTGGTGCCTGACCTGCAAAGTGCAAAGCTGCGTGGGTAAAGCACCCATACACACGCCATTTAATCCTGGGTGTGATATTTGGGGTGCAGCTATGGCTCGGTGATCGAAAGCATCTGGTTTGCACAGAGAAGGTCCTACCCCAGTTTCAAGTCTACAGCTGAACGGTAACGTGAAAGATTTGTCTGTGAAACCCTGCAGCACCACTGCCAGTCAGATTAGGCAACAAACTCAATAAATAAGTCTGTAAGGCAGAGTAATGCAGTCATCTTGGGTTGCAGTAATCAAGAGTGTTCTCAGCTCTTTTAGTGCAACCACATACATACAAGTCAGAAAGCAACTGTGTTTGGTTTGCAGAGGCAGACTTGGACTATGGGCAGACGTGATGACTCAGATGTTAAGACTCTGAGCTGCAGACCAGAAGATCTGTAGTTTGGCAGTTCGAGACCCTAGGGCCACATGACAGAGTGAGCTCCCGGCTCTGGCCCCAGCTCCTGCCAACCTGGCAGTTCGAAAGCAAGAAATTGCAAGTAGATAAATAGGTACCGTTTTGGTGGGAAGGTAGCAGCGTTCCATGCGCCTCGGCATTTAGTCATGCCAGCCACATGACCACGGAGGAGTCTTTGGACAGCGCTGGCGCTTCGGCTTGGAAATGGAGATGAGCACCGCCCCCTAGAGTCGGATTTGACTAGCTTTCAAGCAAGGGAAACCTTTACCTTTAAAGAAACGGAATAGTGCTTAACTGTAGTGAAGGGGTCAAAATGGTGTTTGAGGGGAAGAGAGGAAGAAATTTCATGTATTCTGGATACACTTTAAGTTTCTTTACAGACAGCTGTAGAAGCTGCAAGATGCAAAAAAGCCGTTTAGTAGACCACCCCCCCCCCCCCTTTGTTCATCCATTAAACATAGGGAAGGAACAAGCAATCGAACAGACGGAGAGGACTTGTGGTCAAGCTGTATCTTTTTCAAGGTAAAAGTCAAAACATATGTAGAACCATCTATAATGCGAGCAAAAGGGGGAAATCCAGGTTGGAGGAGCTAATGCACTTCTCATGTGACCTGGAAATGGTTATGCTTAGATTTTGGTACTGGATTGGTGTTACGGAGCATTAAATTGTTTAGTGTTACCATTGCCCACTGCCATATGTTTCACCAGTTTCAGTCTCTTGACATCACAGATATGCTGGGCTTGGGTCCCTTTCTGTTTGTTTATCACATTTGTACCCCGCCCTCCCCACAATGCAGGCTCAGACAGGTCTGGAAAACATAGGGCCACGGGTCAATTTTGCCCTGCACCAGAGGCGGAGGATTGCGAGACCTGTTTGTGGACCATTCCAGTTGACCTGTGGAAAGTTGCAGCCTCACAGCCCTGCTTCTGAGTGAATGTTACTCCTTTTCTCCCTGGATTCAGAGGTGAGCAGTGCACTTAAGTAATCCCTTTTCCTGTCCAGTTGTACTGCACAGTCCAGCCACATCTAAGATTGCTTTCTTGGCATGTCAACTGTTGGGAGAATGGAACTTGGCAGGTAAGAGACTTTCAGTGGGTCTTTGCCAGATGTTAAGGCTGAAATTATCATTCAGAATCTTTTGCTTGTCATCATACCGCTCCCTGCAAGGACTGCTTTTAATTGATCCTCTTTTTAATTAGGTCTCATTCTGCTTTTGGTGCTGTATTTTTGGAGTAGAGAGAATTCTTCTATTTTTGAGCCCTGGGCACTTGCTGATTATAATCAGGCATTTGTATGGATTTCATATCTTTGCTAACTGCCTTGCATGCCTGTGGGCAGAAAAGCAACTCAGATATAAAGACCAAAGAGAACAGAGAAATTTCAGAGGCCTGCTTCTGTAGGAAAATGGAAAAATACAATTGCCAGATGGAATGATGAAATATGTGATGAAGTGAGTGTTGTGGGTGCGGGGGTGGGTGGGAAGGCAGGGTAACTATAGAAGCAAGACATGGGCTGGAAAGAGCACAGGAGGAAAGGGCTTGGAGAAAGAGTATTGTCAAAATGCTTTCCCCTCAGTTTGACCTTGAGTGAATGTAAAAATCAGCCTTGCCTTAATGCCTCACCCTCATTTAAACCAGTAGCCCCTTCCTTGCTATCGAACACACACATATCAGTAAAATTTAAGATTCACATTTACTTCCAAGTTTAATAAGCGTAAACATACATGGCTTAAAACAAAACGACATGTGATCTGTTGCATTCCAGCACCATTGTCATTTTGCAGCGTTTCAGAGAGTCCAACATCATAAAATATGTTTACCAGTACTGCTGTTAGCAGTAACTCTTACCACCCATATTTTCAACCAAGTGACAGCTTGATCATTTGTAGAAAGATTTAATGAGCAGACTCAAGGTACTGGCAGAGATCCAAAGCAACTCATGCAGACAAAGTGGGAAGATGCATCCCCCACCCCCTGGTAGTACCCCATATGGAATGCCCCTCTAGAGAGGCTCCTAACACTTGGGGGTGGGTTTCTGAAGGTTGTGGGAGCTGCTCCTGGAAGTCCCATGTAGTCCTCTATAGCCTAGCCACGGGGGAGGGGGTACATGTAGTAGACTTTAATGTCACTTTATCTCCTTCACTTTAATAGAGGTATAGCTATGTACAAATTCGAGTAACTATATAGGCTCTCCCATGGCATTTGTTGCATACGTGCTTTGGTGCTATTAATCTGATTTTAGGTTAAAAAAAATATAAAGCTAATCAAAAATTCCCTTTCATATAGATAGAAAAAACTTGATCCCATGTGGCAAAAATCCTTGTGAAAGCAGACCACGTTGCCCATGTGTTTACAGTGAGGATTTCCAGATGTTGTGCAACAAGAAGCCATAATTAGACAAGTCTGCATTAGAACTGTATAAGGTACTTAAAGGCAAATACAACCACTCAACCTCATTTCAATTCACCACAAACATGCAGCCTCAGATTTAAAGGTTAACTTAGATGCAATCAAAATGAGTTGTATTTGGCTAAATAGTTCATAACCCTTTTCACACTGACCAGAATCATCCCTTTTATCAGAGAGAGTAGAATTTACCCTACAAAAAAAGAAGATATCAAGTATATAGAAATAAGACTTGCAATAACAGTGTGTTCACAGAAGGGAAAACATGCTTCCGATCATAAGACACATTTAGGAGGGAAAATTCTTAGCTGGAATAGTGTAGGGCGGTGGTATCATTCATTGGATTGGATGCGAAGGCTGGTGATGTGCAAGAGGAAAGAAGAGATCTGGTCATGAAATAAATTGATACACCTGAGAAAGTGGCCAACATAATACATGAATTTTATGACAAAGCAAGTTTTCCGCTGAGTGATCCTAAAACTAACCAAACCCATCAACGCTTTCCCCCCACCTTCTTCGTCCACAAAGCTGCTAGGCAGTGAATTCTCCCCGATCTTCTTTGGGGAAGCAAGCTATCTTTTTAGTGGCAGTTAAAATCCAATTTTGCCTCTTGTCATTGAATAGCCGAGCTTGGCTTCATTGTTGATGAAGGACATCAAACCTAGGTAGGTCTCAATGAGAAGAGGCCGTTCCAGCACCAGAACTCCATTCGCTCTCCCAGGCAGAGGACACTCCTTATGGGCCTTCTTCACGGCTTGAATCAGTTGTGTCTTGAAGTTCTCTAACTATAAGGGGGGGGAATGTTATACATACCTGTTAACTATAGGTCACAACATTTTTTTTAGATTACTGTGCTTCTTAAGTCATTCTGCCTTAGTAAAAGCATCAGCTCAATATTGTCTCCACCAATTATGAAACTGGTGTGAAATTCTAGTTCATCATCCATCTTTGTGGGCAGCCCCACACTGAGACTGCACACCCACAGGCCAAATGTGTGTCTGCAAAGAAGATGTTGATGAACAACAGTTATAGGTAAGTGCAACCCTGTATTTCTTACCCTTCAGCTGGGCGGCACTGACAGGAGATCTAAAGAGTCATGCAACTAGCTCCACATTAACAAGGGGGCTTAGGCTTAGACTTGTTCCTGCAGAGTCTTATGAGCAAAAATTCTACTTTGTGAGCTACTGGCATTAAAGCTGTGAGCAAATAATTTGGCTGTTGCATAAATTAGTTTGCTCTGGAGCCCTCCTTCCTGAGCTAAGGCAAAAATGTGTGAGCTGGAGGCTAAAAAACTGAGCTAGCTCACACTAACTCAGCTTAGAGGGAACACTGGTCCTGGGATGGGTCTGAGGGAACTCTTTATCTATCTGAAAGATGTAACAAGTCTGTACCAGGATGTCTTCCGAGGAAGGACAATTAAAGCCAGGAAGTGTTGACACGGCATGTATGCTTGGGACTGTATGAATCTTGTGTACACAAAACAAGTTCTGTGATCTTGGGTTAAAGTATATTTTTATAGAAGTAGATAATGGAGACTAGTTGGAAAAGGCTGGGAGATGAATTAAGACTATGTAGACTTGTTCTACTATGTAGTCTCCATGCTCCTCTTACAGTCTTGAGGGGTAAATTGTGGGATGCTGGTTCCACCCCTGGTAAAAAGTGAAGGGTAAAGAGTGCCTGTGTTCAGGGTGTCTATACCTACATACATTCTAAACATAAAGTAATAATTCACACATAATTTTCTATCTTGAAATGCCCTGACTTTGAAATTCAAGGAATTTCTACAGCTAAGCAAAAAAATAGTTTTACTTCCGCCCAAGTCACCCAAAGATTCTATATACAATGACAACTGACTTGGCAAAGAGAGGCGATCTTCTCATCTGCATCGGCCATTGGATGTTCTGTAAAAGTAGCATACGGGACGTTTGAGGACCATGGGTTCCATCTATTGATGAAGGAAGCACGACTTTGCTTATCCCATTGAATTCTAATTCCAATGCCTTCCCGCCTGAAAAAGGGAGAGATTTCATGCGTGCTTGCTCAAACAGCTTGAGTGCTGGCAACAGATTTCATGCAGTTTTAAAGTGACAGTTAAAACAGCCATGACTGTATAATTGCAAAACCTACTGCAAACGGTTTACAGGCCAGTTTCATGTTGTACTGTAATTGAAAATATAGGTAAGCTGGTAATATAGGTAAACTTGGAAAGCACTGGCGTCAGAACTGTGTAGAAAGCAGTTTATATCCTCACTATCCCCTAAAGGGCAGAAGCTACTGTGTCTCACTCCTAAGGATTACAAGTCATATACTTTGCACAAGACATTCCCCACTCCCCCGCCCCACCAACAACATACTTATTCAACATACTTATTCAGTGACTTTGGAGGAAACTCAAATTCTCCAATTGAAATTGTATCAACTGCATTAAGTAGTATTCTGGTCACTTGTTGGCACTGCAGGCTGATGAAGTCGTATTTACAGATCAGAAGGGACCAATCAGTGATAAGAACCAATCGCTCCTTCTCATTGTTCCAATGATCAATTCTGGGGAAGAAAAGAGCAGCCATGGTATATCGCTTCTATCATAATCTCGATACAGCAAGTATCCTCACTGTTACTTGGATAGAAAATTACCTGCTTTATACTATGCATACCCATCCCAATGTTAGACA